GCTGCAAGTGCACATTGCTGGGTCATGGTGAAATTCTCATCCCCTAAACACTCCCAAGTCCTTCTCCTCAGGGCTGCTCTCCATCCATTCTCTGCCCAGCCTGGAGTTGTGCTTGGGATTGCCCCCACCCATGTGCAGGACCTTGCACTTGGCCTTGTTGAACTTCATGCGGTTTGCATGGGCCCACCTCTCCAGCCTGTCCAGGTCCCTCTGGATGGCATCCCTTCCCTCCAGTGTGTCGACCCACCACACAGGTTGGTGTCATCGGCAAACTTGCTGAGGCCACTGTCCATGTCACCAACAAAGATGTTGAACAGTGCTGGTCCCAGTACCGACCCCTGAGGAATGCCACTCATCACTGGTGTCCACTTGGACATCGAGCTGCTGACCGCAACTCTTTTAAGTGCGACCATCCAGCCAATTCCTTATCCACCAAGTGGTCCATCCATCAAACCCATGTCTTGCCAATTTAGAGACATTTAGGGACAGTGTCAAATGCTTTGCGCAAGTCCAGGTAGATGACATCAGTTGCTCTTCTCTTATCCACCAGTGCTGTAATCCCATTGTAGAAGGCCACCAAATTTGTCAGGCAGGGTTTGCCTTTAGTGAAGCCATGTTGGCTGTCACCAATCACCTCCTTATTTTCCATGTGCCTGAGCACAGTTTCCAGGAGGATCTGCTCCATGATCTTGCTGGGCACAGAGGTTTCAAGTGGGTCCTGCAGGATTTTTTGGCAAGGATTGGCATTGCACGGCACTGAGTCCATCAGTAAGGGTTTGGAGTCAAAACTTATAGAGGCACTTGGCTCTAGGTTGAGGATGAACAATTTGGGATGGGGGAAGGAGGTATAGATTGCCCACAACAAGGTGTTTAGGAGCCTGGGGGCTTTCTCTGAGAAGCATTTAAGGAAGTCTAGAGCTTACAACTTGAGGGTTAGAATTGGGGAATAGCTGAGGTAGGAAGGGACCCCCAAAGATCTTCCTGCTCAAAGTTGGAGCAGGTTGCTCAGGGCTGCGTCCAGTTGAGTTTTATATGTGAAGCATGTCCAGCAAAGCCACCATGAAGGAGTAGAGGGTTGAGGCACAGCATGCACGAGGAGAGGTGAGGAGAACTGCATCAGTAGCCCGGAGAAAAGAAGGTCGAGGGCTGCTCTAACACCATTTTTTCACAACTTAATGGTTACAGAAAAGGCAGGCTCAGGTGCACAGTAACGGACGAGAAATAACAAGCACAAGTTGCAGAAAGGGAATGTCTAACTAGATAGAAGGAAAAAAAAATCTCACAGTTGGGTAGATAAGTGCTGAAAAATAGACTTGGAGAGGCTGTGGAGTTGTCATCTTTGGGGACGCAGAATTCAACCAGACACATGGGAATGTGAGGGGACAGGGACAGGACGTTTGGGGACAGAGATGCGAGTTAATAGGGAATGAGGGCACTGGGGGAAGCAGGGATGTGGGATAGGGGAGCACAGGGAGGTGTGAGGGCAGGGGAGAGGAGATTGGGGAACCGGAGACACAGAGATTGGGGGACCCAAGGACAGCAGAGGAGGGGACAGAGCGACACACATGGTCACAGCCATGGCAGGCTGTGCTGCTCCCTGGTCTGTGCTCTCTGTGGCTGGTGGGGTCCTGGGGGCGCAGGATGGTCCTGGGGACGCTCGGGGCTGGGCCAAGGGGCTGGTGTCTCCATGTGCTCCCTGACGTCGGGGCTGGCGGGACCCCTGGCTCTTCGGTGCCGGGGCCGGTGGGGCTGGGCTCCGGGAGCACAACACGTAGTGGTGGGGGTGTCACCCCCCGTGGGGCTGGGGGAGCAGGGGGTTGTTTCTCTCCCACTCAAGGACTTTTGAGGGGGCTCTGCTTCACCCTGGGCGCTGGAGGTGAGCAAGGTTTAGGGGGTGTCTGATGACCCCCAAGAGGACCTGGCCAGGGTAACCTGGGGTTTACAGCCCTGCCTGCACCTTCCACTACCTGAGAGGAGAAAAAAAACCTGGCAGCTGCCACCCACTGCCTGTCCTCAGGGAACCCGGGTGTCCTCACTGCCCCATCCCAGGGCTACCGGTCCTCGGCCCTCCCTCTGCCTGGGCCTCTCCCAGCTCCTGGCCGTGGCCACGTGTCCCGTCTGGGCTATAATTACCCAGGCGCATTCCTGGGGAGTCACAGGAGCTTCCCGGAGCGGCGGCAGGCGGTAAGGGGGGACGAGTGCGTGGCATGCCGTGCAGCAATGCAGGACACGGCATACGGCACGCACCACGCCGGGCTGCAAAGCGCACGGCCCGAGCAAGGACACGCGACACCATGCAAACACAGCGAGCAACACGTGAGGCACCACTCGTGATGGGGCAGGGGGGTGGCAGCGTGCAGCGCACCACGGTGTGACACAGCGTGCCAGGCAAGGATCAGCGCACCCTGACAGTAAGCGGTGCAAAAGGGCGCACGACGTGCAATGTCACACGCAACTCGCAACGCAATGCATCGCGACACGCAATAGCGCGAGACACAACAGGCAGCGCACAGCAGTCGCTGCTGTGCACTGAACGGGTGGGACAGGTGGCTTCGCTGGGGAGCTGGTCCGGGGACCAGCGGCTTTGCCGCTGTTGGAGCACCAGTAGTTTCAACTATGGGGCAATGATTGGGGACGAACTTGGTAGCATCTGCTATAGGGTGGAGGGTTTGATCGGGGACAGTGGCCTGAGCTTTGGGGCTGTGGCTTTTGGTTGGGGCAGCAGCGCTGGCCATGCATCAATAGCTTCATCCTGAGGATTCAGCAATGAGCCAGATGAGGGACATCAGCCTCAGCTATAGGGCAGTGACATGGCCTGTTGGGCTCACCTATGGGGCTTCAGTTTTGCCAATGGGATTTAATTCAGCTATGGGGCAGTAGCAGTTCCTGGTGGCCTCAGCTACGGGGTAGAGGCTTTAGCAATGGATCCAGCA